TTTTTTTTGCTGTCCAGAGCCGAACTGTAGAAATTGTGTAGTGAGCATACCTACCAATAACAATGTACCAAATCTAAAACCAAACATAATATGCCTCCCTGAATCTAATGGTGAATGGGAGACTTTAACGAGAAGTTTTTCAGTTAAACAGCACTGAAACGCTGGCTTCATTGTTTTCTTTTCTCTGTGTTTGAAGCTCTCCTTCGTTTTTCTCCATTTCATACGCATCCTGTTGTCACTAGGCAACCACGCGGTGACTCGGGCTACCTCAACAGATGCTTATTTGTGCTCAAGTGAAGTTTAGGTGAAATCCCACATTCCAATAATTACTTTTTCCTGCTTAACCTACACTTGCCTCTTCACGTGCCAAGCTTCAAGTGAACGAACATCCTTGGAGTTATTTTGAGTAAGTCCATGTTTCTGCCATTGTGCGAAATGTATTTGCCTCGGCATTTGCACTAATAACAATAGAGCTGCAGTTATTTCTAGCCACCGGCAGATGGGGCAGCCGCCGTGTGAACCGCGGTGAAGGAAAGAGTAGAGAAATAGATGGGAGGGTCAGGCCGCTGCCTCTCAGTTTCAAACACTCAGTGCATTTCAAACCTGTGCATGGACGTAAACTGAACGGTGAAAGTAGGGTTTGTTTGCGGACTCCTCCCGTGTTAGACGGGTCATGCTGTCTTCGCGAAGGTAATGAGCCGCAAACCCCTCGGGTCTCGGCTGAGCAGCGCCCACAAACTGCAGCGAAACTGGAATGACTGGCAGCCCAGGTCAGTAGCGCACCACACGGCCGAGCGCTCGCACAACAGACCGAGGCTTCAGCGAGGCCTTGCTCTCCTGCGCCTCTTTATGAAACACAGCAGCGGCCTATCTCCACGTGAGGAGACTTTTCTAAGCATTCATCTCGCATCACGTCGCACGATAATGAGGTTGAACTCTAGTCTTTGGGGAATAGTTAAAGCGACAAGTGTCAAGCGCTCATGTTCATTTTTCAGGTTGATTAGCAGATGTTAGCAAAAGCTAACTCGCAAGCAATCGGCGAACACTGGCTATATTTATCATGTTTGCGTTTGTTCGCTAGCTTTGGTTTGTAGACCGAGTACAAATGTGAGAGTAACGGCGGGAATTTGTGTGTTTTGACAAACACGCGGATGTGTCGTGGCGTTCATTTGTGGTTTGTGAGGGGAAGCGCGTGTGGTCCGACACGTTTAGCCACAAGCTGCATAGGGTTAGTTTTTCAACATTTGCGATGAAGTTAGTAACTCGATTTACGGTGTGTAATGTATAATACAGACATACTGGATAATATTAGTCTCCTACTGATTTAATGCTTTTTGAACTCCTCCTGTGAAGCTCAAATAAATCTCGACGCTCATGTTCACTTTGCTAACCAGCTCCATTATTTTCGTTGTGCCTCTGACAGTGAAGCGGATAGCCAGTTTCAAACCTTATTATTTTATTTGTAGTTTTAAAC